CTATCTCTTGCTGTCTTTAGGATCATTCATATGCATATGATTAGCTGTGGAAATTGAGACCAGACCCATTGATCTATCAGAGGCAACCAAGGTTTCGAGAGCACTACAAGGCAGAAAGGCTTTCTCAACCCCACTGTAACAAATTAAGAACTCAAGTAAAAATGCAAATCCACAGAAATGACCATTTGCCTGAGGCAGAGATCAGGAAATGGCATTGTCATGACCAGTGTCCCACATCCATGCAAAAAGTTGGGGTGTTGTCAAAAAGCCCAGTATCTGTGGTAACTATGGGATTTTTTATGTGAAAAAAGTATTTAAAGCAAAGTTTAAATCTATCATATGTCCCAATTGAGGGCAATAACAATAAATGAGTCATTGTGTCTCAGACCCCTCTCATCACTGCAGATCTATGATGCTACTGTGTAAACCAGAAAGTGCAGCCTGTCTTTTCAGGAACTTACCAGCACTCCGGTTTTGCTCATCTTCTAGAAAGAATGTAGTGAAAATGGAAACACTGTACTGCTGTGATGTGTGGCCTGTAATTGATATCTGATATAATACCTTTAGGGAAGTTGATAACAAGCAAAAAAGTATGTGTTTGTCAATTTCCTGCTTCAGCTGTCAATTTGTAATGAAGTGAGGAGAGTTCTGTTACTGATTAAGAGGATAGTCTGTGTTGCCCTTTTAATCATGCATATTTAATCATTACTGCCTCCTTTTCTTTTGAAGGAAAGCTATAAAAGTTTTCATGCATATATCTTGCACTGTTGCCCAGGAAATTGTATACACTTTTATATCACCAAGTATATTAGGGAATTCTCACTACTCAGGGTTACTTTGAATGACGATAATATCCCAGCAGTCTTTTGTGTGCTTTTACTTGTATTTCATTGCTTTTTTTAGATAACTAAAAATTAACAACTAAAAAGTACAATTTTATTTAAATTTAAGTTTCTTTTGCTAATGCCTGCCTCTGCCACCATTCTGTATGAATAGTTAAGTGAGAATGCCAGAAAGAGAAACTCTGATGAGTAGGAAGAGGTGTTTGTAAATTTGCTGGAGGACTCCATAGACTGTTGATATCTAAGAATTCCTTCAGGTGTCTGAGTGCTGAAAGTTTTGCTTTTTCCCCAGACTTTCCACAGATACTAACATTATTTCTGTTGTTAGGCTTACAGGTAACGCTCTAGGCAAATTCCAGGATTTTTGCCTGTGCAGGTCAGACTGGCATTATTGGCAAAGTGGTAAAAAGAATCCCACGTTAGAAGTTTGCTAATATGAAAATTTTGTAATAGTTGCTGCATACAGTTAGAATATTTGCTGAAGATGCCTTTTGAAATCTCCTGATAAAAGCACCAGTAGAGCTTTTGTGACTCAGAAATGCCACATTAACATATAGCAGAGAGAAGCAAAAAATAGACGAGATCAGTAAAAATGCAGAACAGTGCAGCTGGGCATGCCACTTAAAAGCTGAAGATGAAATCTAGAAGCAGCACTGATGTTGCTCCAGAGTGTATCCTGGGGAGTATGTGAATGATGAGTGGGGTAAAAGCCTTTTTCATATTTTTAAAAAGGCTTTTTGAAAGAATGTCTTTGAATTTCAAAACTCCAGAAATTAAATATTTAGCTTATAATACCTCAGAGTTGTCCTAAGTAAGTGTTTAACATACCCAGTTAAGTCAAATTTAAACAGACTTCTTAAAGCAGAAAAAAATTCCATTCACCTTTCATTAGAGGATACCAGACAGGAGGATACTGGTGATAGCAAAAAAACCCCTCCCCTAAACCCTCCAGCCTGTGAAGTTTTAGATAGTTAGAAGATTTACAATTAATTAAATATGTGAAATCTTAGTGTTGGATTTTGCCACATAAAAAGGGAGTGGACTAGATTGAACTGGGTGCTATTTACATCAGTAGACATACATCAGTATACATATATTTGCCAGTCAAGTACAGACTGTTGTAAAATTTTAATGGACTGTAAATAAACAGATTTTTCTATCTTTCTAAGGTGGGATCTGGATCTCAAAGATGGTCAATGAGAGAGGCTGGATAGGGCATTGATAGGGGATGAAAAGGGATTTTGTGTCATGATGCCTCATGCATAAATGATATATGTTTGATAACTTTCCACACACTGCTTCTCCTCTGAGTATGTGAGAAACTGGGTTTGCAGAAAGAAAAGTTGATTCATTTTCCATGTTCATTCAGTCTAAGCTTTTTTTGCTACTCATGATGCCAGCAATACTGCTAATTATTGACATAATAAGCACAATAAAGTAAAATATTTCTACGGACTAGGCCTAAAGAGGCAACTAATTGCAGGCCCAAATGATACTCCTGGCATTCATTTAAACTTTTCTTTCAGTCTGCTGTTCGCTGAGTATTTTAATGTAAGCTCTCCTACAGTAACCCCTCTCAGTTGCTTTATTCAGTGCCACTGTGGTCTTCCACAATTATTTTCTATGACATGCATTGACACACCATACAGTCAGCAACAACTGATCAGCTATGCCTCACTGGAACTAGGTTTGCCAGAAAAAATAAACATCTCCATTTTATACCGGGCAGAGTGGCTCCCACACAGCAAAGACACTGCAGAGCCAAGACGTCCTCCTTGCTGACACTCCTGACCCCGTTGTTCTGCTTCACCTACCCTCTTCCTGACTGCAAGGAGGTATCAGGATTCCAGAAGTTACCACAGATTTCCTCTGGTTTTCTGTCTGGGTTGTTGATTCTTGAATTCTTTACAAAGGCACTTTTGAAAATAGTCATTTGCAATTTGGCATTCTGTGAGGATGTTTCCAGAAAGCCAGTTCCTCTCTGATACTGCCTGTAACCTGGGACAGCATAGCTGTACTTCTAAATGACTCTCCCTCCTCTCAGGGTCTTTATATCAACAACTTTGTCTTGTCATGTCTTATATAAAACAAAAATTGCTTCCTGACATCTGCCCAGCTGTTAATTTTCTTCCCTTTCCTTCCATGTACCATGCAGTTGTCTGTCTTACCATTTGAGAATATGTAATCTAAAATTATTGGGAAAAGTATGGAAAGTATCCACAGTACAAATTCCAGAGACAAATTAAATATTTAACTCAGAACTGTATTTTTAAAAAATAGCAGCTTAGGCTTTAACGCCCCCCCCCCCAAAAAAAAAAGCTACATAAAATTACTTTCTCATTGGTATTGTGAGACATGAATCTAAAAGACAGGCTGTATAACACTTCACAACTTTCAGCAATACTTTTTCTGATACGTTCATATTTAGGTCTTTTAACTGATCACACCTGGCCTCTACTTTACTGATACTTGTCTCAAACAATTCAAAGGAGAATTCAAAGAAACAGTTTTTGATCTAAGAAAATCACAAAGGAAAAAATACAAGAACTTTATTATAGTAAGGTCTCTAGTTGCAACTATTACTATATTTAAGTAACCTGAAAAAATAAATATATATTATTTTTGTGGAAAGTACTAGGACAAGAGAAGCCAGATACTGAACTTAACAGAATATTGTTGAAGGAAAAAGTGGTCTTGTTGCATAGTGGGAAAGCAATCTCCAAGTTGAAAATCACTTCTGAGTACATGCTCAACAGGAAATACTTTTCACAAAGCTCCAATGAAGCTGCATTCTTAATATTATATCCTTAATATATCCTAATGAAATACATGATAAAGTATGTAACTCAAAAATTATACAATATAGCTGAGATAATGTTGGATTTTGAGGTTTTATATTTCCACTTTTTAATTCTGGGAGATGTTCACTTCAAATTTAAAACTGTATAAGAACATTTCTGGCTTTTAATTATTTACAAACAGAATTAGCATTAAAAATGTGTTTACTAGAACAAAGTAATATAAACTCTGGGTAAATGTATCTTCAGTGAGAAAGAAACCTGAGTGTTAACTCCAGTTATGAAAAGTTAATGAACTTTGATGGAAACTTTCTAGAAGAGGTAAAAACTGTTTTGGGCTTGGAGTGATTAGTCTAAAGCTGGTATACTCGGTTTGGGAAGCAATCATTCTCAAATGTGTGGATACATAGTCTCATAGGTCCCTAAAGCATCCTCTCGTGGCTATGACATCCTTTTTCTATGGCAACCTCCAGCAATCTCTAGGGCCATAGCAACTTTTTAGGTGGTACTTTCTGCAACTCGTTTTATCAAACTTGGCACAAAACTAGTCTAGAGGAAAAGGAGCAGGTAAATAAATATCTTTAGGGCATCCTTGCATGCATGTCTGCTGGGCTGCACTTAACCATCTTTTAGCAAAGCCACACAAGAGGACCAAAAGGTTTAGATTACACAAATAAACGTTTGTGGCTTATGAGCGGTTGCAGGCTGACTTTCACTGAAGTCCAAGGGTAGCAATGCAACAAAGGACTGGTCCTTTTTGTGGTTTTGTCCCTTTTCTTATACATGGGAAATCTGACTCTGTGATCTTACTATTTTTATTATTAATCTTCTAATGAAGACTGATTGGCAGGGGAGCAGAAAGGAGTCTTTTGTGTGGGGACAAAGGGTATTGATAATTAGAATGAATTCCCACGTTACATTCTTATGAGATGCCATGACTGCAAGTAAGCTTTTTATTAAGGAGAAAATGTAAAAAAAAACCCATAAAAATAATGCCTCTAATTGCGATGACAACCATTTTCCAACAACGTTTTTATCCCAAGAGAATTTTCCCCATCTCACTAACACTTAAGAGGTGTGTTGATAATGGGATGGTACCATGGACAATTTGTTTTCTCATACTTTATAACATTTAACGAGGCAAAACATAATCTGAGGGGAAGAAACAACCATTTCGAATCAGTCCTTGCAATGTGGAGGTGATAAACAGCAGTCTTTTTCTACACAGTACATCCTGAGGATGAGAAAGAGGTTGAATTATGTAGGCTAAATGACACTGTAAGCAATAGCAACAGAATATTTTCCTACTTTATTTTACTCCTTTAGAGCCCAGTCTCTTTTGAAATCAGAGCTGACTGACCTTGCAGGACAAGGATCCAGGTTACACTCCTGAAGTTTTGGCTTTGGCTTGATATTTTCGGGATAATAGTGACAATATTGATCTGCTACTACCCGGTTGCTCCTCAGATCAAAACATTCAGCAGATGTCAGTTGATAACCTGCAATGCACAGTGGAAGAAATACTATGTGAATATTCCTGTCTCTCTCTGAAGTGCATATAAGTTCTGGTTTGATAAAAAGCAAACTGAAAATATCAGTGGTTTTGGACATAACAGCTGCTGTTTTACAGACCAGATTGAAAACAACCACTTAAATCACATGTAGTAGGAAAGAAAAGATAACTAGTATGGTCAAATAAAAATTCATAAGCTTAGAGCAAAAAATAAAAACAAGGACCGGGGTTTTTTGGTCACCAAGACTTGTACACACAGTTTCAGTTCAGAGGGTAAAGATGCTGGTGGAGATGGGGGCAGATGGAGATATCTTGGGATTCCAAAGCGGGCCCAAATCCCATCAACTCTTATATTTGACAGCTGTAGCATTAAATGCCATCATGTAGATATCAAAATGTACTTTATGTACAGAGCCTGTTACGATGCTAAAAAGTCTATAGGCTACTACTTCTGTTGCTACATCCCTCCCTTCATTTTGATGTAACTACTTTAATTTTCAGATTTTGCCCATTTTAAAGGTCCAGATCTCAGTGCAGCAGTTGGGACAGATCCTGTATGCAGATGACTATTTCTGGAATAGAGTGGTAATTCATTACCTCCTCCACAGGATGCTGAACAAGGAAAAAAATCAGTTTCCCTCCATCGGTGAATGATAGGCTGATAGAAGATAAACTGAACTGAACTGTCAGCAGCACCAGCATAGCGGATCTGGAAAAGATTTAATGCCAAAGAGTGAATATGACATAAATACCAGGAAGAAGCTTTCTGCCACATGCACCTGGAAACTTTAACACATCTTGCAGCTCCATGAAATACAAGAAATACTTTGCAACAGGAAAATAAAATGCACAAACCAAAGCATAGATTGGTGTCAAAATATTGGCTGCAAAATAAATTTCTGGGTTGCAGATAAATTTCTGGGCATAATCAGTGGCATTTCTGACCATTCTGAGACCATGTTCTGAAATAATGAATGCATGGCAAGTGCACAGTTAGTGCTACTGAATAATTTTACGGGGACAGAGGGTATGGACTGATCTTTATTCCATCAGAAAATCACCTACCACTACCTGCTGCCCCTGTCACATCGACGTGCATTTTAGGTCTTTAATATTTCCCAAACACCTTCTGAGACCATGTATACTACATTACATAGTTCAGAGTAAAAAAAAGGGAGGGTATGCTGTAAGAAATACAAAAGTATCAAAATTCTAATTCAAGATTTTATTGTTTCTGAGCTGAGGTCTCTTTTTCATTCTTCTTTATGGTACTGTCATTATTATAAGGCCATCCTTCTGCTTACTTCAGTTTCGCTGCAAAAATGCTCCTTTCAGTCACAGGTGCGGACTCTTGGCTAAAGCTAAGTGCTTGTTCGGAAAACACTCTTTAGAGCCTACAAATACTTTTATTGTATTATTATAAAAAAACTTTTAAGTCACCGGAGCTTCACTATGCTTCCAGTACTTTGTGTGCTGAATGGATTTCCCATGTAAACAAGAGTTTGTAGCACAATGAATGTAAAACGAACAGAGACCTTCACACTGCTAAAGCAGCATCACTTGCACCTGGCCTAGAAAAAAATCCTTACAGTTTGATAGCTGTGCTGATTAATACTGTTATGGGGACTTCAAAATCTCTTCAGGGCATCCCTTGTCATTACCTCTAAGCGTTCGCATGAACAGCTGGCAGGGGAAGAACAACAATGCTGCTACTAAAATCTTCTCCTACTTGATTATTTGTCCTAGGGCATCTCTGTATCAGTGACATGATGCTGTCACAGGAGAGAAAACTGCCAAATCACAACCAGAAAACATGGACTCTTCTCCAAGTCAGTAGTACTACTCTCAGGAGCAATCCTTCCTGGTTTTTTTGGTTTTTGTTTTTTTTTTTTTTTTTTTTTTTTTTACAGACAGCTTGAAATGTTTCAGTACTGCCTCCTTTTTCTTTTCCCATATTTTGATCAAGTTGCCCTGTTTTGGAAACACCATTTTTTCAATCTGCCTTTCCTTTTCTCTCTTTCTAGACACCAAGAGACATTGTCAAAGAGTAGACCATGAAACAGAAGTAAAAATATGACAAATTGAGCTGAACAGTGTAATCTGGGTTGTTTTGTTTTCCCCTATAGATGGACAGAAACATGATTACAAATCAAAGTATATCTTGAAGAGAAGAAGGAAGGCAAAAATATTGCAGGATATGTTCATGGCTGTAAGAGATCTGGCCCACTGAGACTAAGGCTGCCCTTTTCTAATTAGAGTAAACAGTGACGTAAATTCCCAACAGGAAAAAAAAATACAGCTGTACCACTACAGCTTCTTCAGCAAATGGGAGGCCTTTTGCATGGATTGATATCATTTGAGTCTGCGTGTCATTAACAGGATATTTAACTCCTTGTGTGGGACTGATACATTAATCACACACTTCAGAAGGGTCTTTCTGGGCTCATAAAAGCCTCATGCACTCCTGGGAAAAAATGTTCTATTGTGCTGGAAGCTATTCGGGGAGGTCTCTGATCAGAATGTGCAGAAAAAGCATTCACTGTGGAGAATTCTACTCTTACTCTTTTTTTTTTTTTTTTTTTTTTAAGATTGTCAGTGATTCTTAAACTCAGAAGATCTACTCAGTAATACAGTCTTCAGTGAATTGTGAAGAACAGACCAAGAGCTCACAGAGTCTGCTATATAAGGAAGGGGAGGAAAAAGACTTCACATTAAAAAAAAGAAATCAGGAAGACAGAAGAGTTCCCCTCCCTGCAGACTATTCCTGCATGTCTGCAGACTTATCTGTTTTGACACAGAGAAAAGACAGATGTACATCTTTTCACAGCCTACAATGGAAGTCACTTATACAGCCATGATAACAGCATAGGTGGAAAAGGATTACAATGAGCCACAGCCATGAGCTAAAATGATACAAAGCAAGCAAATGAAAGAAGCAGACACAGTATTGTTTGTTTTTGTTTTTGTTTTTGTTTTTTTTTTAAGGAGTACTGTAAGCAGAAGAGGAACAAAATATGGTGATTCCACACAGCAAAAATTTCTTTTTGATTTTGTTTGACAGTTTCTAAAAGCTAAGATCTTGATCCAAGAGAAAACATCAGTGGCTGCTTGAGCCTTGCAAAATTCAAAGTGAGACTTGATGGCTAAATGCTTTAATAAATGTTCTGGTTTTGCTGCACAGGACTAACTTCCACACATTGAAATACTCAGCTCTGGAGTATGGTGAAACTTTTTACCCTTCCAGTATTTGTGACACCATGATAGCTGTGAGAAATGCCAGAGCTTCAAAAAGAGATGGTCCATACTTGAGAATCTTTAGTTACTCCTCTAACTAACAGTGAGTTTTGCACCCTTAGGTCACTGAAATAGAAGAAATGGCAGATCATCCTTGACTTCCTTTAGGTTTCAGGGGAGTTTGGAGTATTCCGAACATCAGAGCAGCCCTCACAACTTTGTAAGACCCAAGAAAGTATCACCAGTCTTATAAAGAGTTGGTTAAAGAGTCCTCAGACTATCCACCAAAAATTAACTACAGTCTACAGTCTAGAGGCTACAGTCACTAGCAACAATCTAGCTCCATCCCACCAGGCTTATTAAAAAATTTCTAATGGATTTTTCCACATTATTATTACAAATGCTTTCTGCATGTGCCAAATCCCAAATTATCAGAGTTGATTTATTAATGAGAAGTTCAATATTGAACTCTTCTAAGTAACATACAAAGAAACTGGGGATGAGGGTGTGGAGAAATATCCTTAAGTGGCAACCATAAATTCATGCTTTTCATATTAGCAAAACCAAAGTTTTTGCATGATTTTCCTTTCTCTATTTGGAGTGCTTTAAAATTCCTGTTTGTATGTAGTGATACCTTACACTGATAAAGGAGGATGTGCAACAGATGTGCTGTTGTTCATAATTTGTTCATGAAGCAGAAATAGGAGAAAGACATTGTAGTCGGAAAATAATTTTACAAGCTTGTTTAAAATAATATAAAAAGTACAAAAAATGTAAATCGAGACATTCTGAAGTCTTTCAGGCATAATGTTTAACACAGGACTAAAACATGACTCCTCTGAGTTTGCCTTTTAATTCCCTTGGAATGCTGAAGGAAGCTCTTCCTTTGAGCTCTAGGGAACATATCTCCTGTCCACTTCTGCATTCATGTCCCTTGATAGAGATAGTCCTGTGTTGGAAGAGACTGTTTTGGGGGTTGACTTTATATGGAAGACAGCTCTGTCTGTTGCTTCTCAATTCAGACTCTAAATTAGCCAGAGAAATCACGATGAAATTATATTATCACCAATTTACATGCTTTACAAAGCATCTCTGAATTGAACTTGCTCACTGTGCTCCAATCGTGGATTAAGTTGTGTTTCTTTAGGCTATCAGGATGGCTGTTAAAAAGCCTTTAGACTGTATCTCTCATAAAACCAAAACAGAAAGCTAGAAGGTTCAAATCTTCTCTCAGATTCCATTATTCTCCCCAAAGGAAGAATAAAACAAAAAATCAGTGCAATGGGCTGTCTAAAATAGCTGGTCATGATGTAGTCTGGTGTATCAGCTATAACAGCTATGGTAATCTGTACAGAATCCACTAAGTGCAACAAAGGCAGAAGCTTCTCAAATGGGATGACCAAAGTTATTCCACAGAACCAAGGATAACCCCAAATACACCAAAACCAGCCCTGCTGCATCTCTTCAGTGAATACCACCAATAACACCCCACCCATCTACGGAAAGACCATTTCACCACCATCAACGTGCTCCCAGGGCAAGAGAATTCACCTTTGAGTGAGCCACCTTAATCCCCACTGGAGAGTATTTATTAACATTAATTTAATCATGACAACACCTAAGAAATTAATGTAAAAAAAAAAAAAAAAAAAAGGTGCTATTGTGATAGACATTGTATAAAAATAAAATTAACAAAATAAAAAGGCAATGAATTCCACAAAAAAAAAAAAAAAAAGTTAAAGTGATGAAAATTTAGCAAGGTTGTCACCAAAACTTCATAGTACTTAAAACTGAGATTTTTTAAATAGGTAGACTTGGGGAATTTACAGATGATACCAGAAAAATGTTACAGAAAAGGAAAAGGAAAAATTGCAAGGAGCAATTTGTCAGAGGAATAGAAAATAACATGTCTAAGAAGCTGTCTCTATTGCCTCAAATTAAAACCCGACAATAGATTTCAGATCTGCAGTATTTTAAAGAAGTATGTAAGATTAATGGTAACACATCTCCAGATATGAACAGCATCCACACAGTAGTTTAAAATCATTTACTCTTTGAAGAGTACAGGAATGTAAATCATGCATGATCACATTTAGCCTATCTTCATGAACAAGCTACTGTTTAAACCATTGGAAAACAGAAAATTGTAACAACATTTTTTAGAAGCTTCATGATTAATGCAAGAAACAGCAGAACAATAATCTCTACCTCTGTTATGGGGTCAGTAAATAGAATGAAAATAAAGAACAGAACTCAAAGATGGGTCTCTAGAAAGGGTATGCTTTTTGAGCATTGTGGTTTGTTTTACCAGATATTCATGAGGGACACTGATAAACGTAGCTTAGGTATCTGTTTCCTTCTTGGTCCCTCACCAAAGGCCCTAGACAAAGCTCACATAAGTTAAGAAGATTCTCCCATGGACTGATGACTGGATAACAGAGAATGGTCCTATAAACTGTTCTTGCAATGGATGAA